TTAATTAACATGTTTTAACCAAAAACCCTTTTAGAGAATGATTTGTTTCTAAATGTTGTTCTTCCTCTATGTTCCAGTCCATTTCCCTGAGTCCTGTATTGCTGCGCACAGCGTGATTAAAGAAAAGACAAATGATGATGACCAGAGTGATACAGATTACCTGTGCATACACGTCTCGACCAATCGATTCTGAGGGCAAAAATCATTTTTTATGCTTTTATTCGTTTGAACTTTGAAAAGAAAAGAATTATACATTTGTCAAACACAGTTCATGATGCTCTCTGACTCTCTTCCCTTCAGCAGGTACGCGGTACATACAAACACCCGCTGTGCAGTTCACACTTGTGCTTTGTAAACGCTCAGCACCAGAATAACAAAAACACCTTATGAACCTTTCATCGCAGGTTGTGATAAAAATTTAAAAGATAATTAATTATATCTCGTTTTGTGACTTTGTGGGAAATGTTCTGTCCAGTGATTCATTCATCATAGTCAATAACCCACATATAATTATGGTCTTTGATAAACCATTTGACACTAATTAACCCTTTTCTCATTGAAACATTCTCATAATTACCACCCACTACCTGAAAGTGATTGACTTCTGTCATTTTGATTATGGTTTTTTTTCCTGCTTGAAATATACCACATCAAACCATATGTTCATGCTCGGTGAGATGCAAATAGTTATGGTATAGACCACAGTTATTTTCCTAATGATAAATGCCTGACCATATGCCTCAGTGGTGATTTTCAAAACAGAGTACCGTAAGGATTTACAACCGCTGAGTAAGTGATGCCATTACAGCAAATCAAAGTGTGCACTAAACAATTTTAAATTACACAATGAAATATTTCCTCCAGAAAGAACATTTTCATTTTAAGACAGGTTTAAAAGTGAACACTAATATAAGGCAGGTAACAGATGAAGAGTGGATAATAACTCCATGTTGATATTGGCAGATCTTTGTCCAATAGAAGTTTAATCTTAAGGCTTCTATGTACATTAGTGATTTCATGAATAGACATTCAGTATAGAAACTGCAACCATACAATACAATCTTACTGGAAATGTCATGAGTCTGCCGCCCCCTTTTTGAGTGCAAAAAACCTAATTCGGTGCAGATTATTAACTGGAAACTGAATGCCCAAGTACCGCAACTGGTTATGATGAAGCAAACACACAATTTTCAGAGAGGTTTTAAGTATTTGGTGAAGTGGCACCCAACCTCCAGTCTGCAGCCTTGTCATTTAAACATTAATCTTTAGATGAACTCGGTGCGGCTTTAACCCAGTGACACTCCACAATCATCAGGTCAGGCAGAAACACATAACGTCAGCTGAATGTTTAATCTGCTCTCAACCGCTCCCGCCTCCGTCCCCGAGCTGCTCGGATACAAACACTTTGATCGAAACGAGATCTGATGCATCAAGCTGAGAACAACACGTGATAGAGGAAGAGAGCTTTAAAAATAAATACATCAGTAGTTCTAAGCAAAAGACAGAAACACACTTCTTTCCAGTGGGATAAAATACTTCAACATAGACTTGGTGCCTGATTAACCATGTCAGTCAAATGTTGTGAAGAGGAAAATCTTCTTTCCTCCACAGGTTATTCCAACAGCCGCAGAGGCCAAGCATTTCGGTACCTCCACCAATCATTCAGAAAAAATGGCTGTGGTGAATAAATACTTAAGATAGACACAAGTGCATTTAGGAGACAGCATATACCACATATACCGCACTGCATCAGGTTCTATGTGAATCTGCACTGATGTCCAGACATTTAAATATATTCCAGTTTCTTCTCCATGTAATCAGCTGCTTTCAATATGTTTTTAAGTTTTATAAGAATGACATAACACAAGCTAACCAGACGACTCAACATGAACAGCGCCCCCAGCTGGCTACATTGCCAAATATCTTCCTGTTTATTCATCACTTCTTTATTTTAGTCCTAATAACTTTAACTTCTTGTTTTCAATGGAAATGTATTCTTGACAAAGTCTTAGAACAAGACTGTTGCCAGTGTCTTGAAACGTTAGAGGTATCTGAACCCATTTTCATAACAATCTGTGAAGACTGAATCTGAGCTGAAATGATTTGTCCGTTTCAATCATGTGACTCTTGGAATCACTCTTCTTTTTGCTGTAGATTGGAAACAGTTATAAAGTTATAAAAAAGGACGGAGAAAATTTGCCTGAAGAAATGTTTGACTTAATGTGTCAGAAACAAAGTGAATAAGTTAAAGTTGGATTTGTTACCTTGTGCATGTTGCCATGAGATTGGCTGACACTGACAATTGGTTTAATAAAGGCTTGAAAAAAAGAAACTATGAGGGGAACTGTCACGACATCTTCATCCGTAAAGAAGCACAAATCCCATCATCCTAAGACCATCGTCCCTTCTCCCATGGACTTTTAACATGAAAATAACATATGAACAAATGATTTCTTCAATACAAACAGAATTACAATAACCAGAAATCTGTTCTTGACTTAAAATCATTTGTGCTCACAGCATCATCCGTGGTCCCTGAAGAATCAAGTCCTCTTAGGGTCTCCAATAAAAAACATTGGTGCAACATGTTTGCTACGAAGAAACCTGAGAGACGTCATAGTCTATGATGAGTTGTTTGATGTAGGACAGTTTTTCATGGAGATACTCGCAGCGTTTCTTCTCCTCCCGGTAGCCTGGGAACTTCTGTGGAGAAGAAAGACAGAGGAAACACAATGTTTCAATAAAAAGGTTTTAAAGTTGGTTTTCACTTTCCCATACTCTCATCCAGTTTGTCTCCTGTCAAGTGACTCGATGATCTGAAATGATGATGCAGAGCTCAAAAACCACGTGGAGCCCAGTGTAGAATATTTGCATGCACCCTTTTAATTCTAATGACACTGAACGTAAAGTTCAACAACTTCTGGTACTTTTAACAGAGTAGGTTCTGTAAGTTTCTGTAATGATGAAAAACTCGCACAATGATCATACATAAGTCTTTTCACTCAGGTTTGACATATATTCTTTTCCAAATGTAGGTGTTTCCAATCTGTTTTTATAATTATTATGTCCAATATAAAAATGTGGTTTTTAAAATCCCAGAATCAGGACACAAAACTTCTCACTGGATAAAAAAAAATCCCATTTGACTTCTCTGAGAAAATCAAAAGTAAAATCCAGTAAGAGTGAAAACAACTTTGACTATTGAAAGGGTGGCAACAGTTTCACTTACCTTTCGATATTTGTTGTACTTTTCTAGTATTTGGTCTTCCATTATCTGCATGGCGTGAAAAAGGAAGATTATGAAATTGTTAATTCAGCTGCATGAAATAATAACTTTGCATCTATGTGTGAGCCTTGGGTCAGGGATGACGAGGAGTTGTAGTTGTATGTGTACCTTATAGTCTTGTGTGCCTGGGGACAGACTCTTGATCTTGGACCCTAGCTGAACAAACATGTGAGTTATGGTGGCGATGCGAGAGTGGAGGTCTTTGTACTCATCGTACTCGTCACAGAAATCCTCCTGGTATCTCTTGCGTTGCTCTAAACTTATTATGGGGCCGTAGGTGCTACAAGAAAACACATGGACAAAAAACACTTAGTAGTGATATATACATATATACATGTGATGTTATATTAGCTGATTGAGGCACAAAGAGGACACACTACTCGATTTATTATGGTAGCCAAAATAATACTTTCATGCCCAGCTGACTTAATATTTTCAAAAAAGGCCATTTCCATCAATCTTGCAGTTGCTCTTTCTGACACAAGATGGCAGCACGTGGATACAATGTTAAACTGTGACACAGGCGTATCCACATTGGTTTATTTTGGAGACCAGTTTTATTTCTTATCTTTCAATGGTTACGTGTTCAAACACTGACAGTTAATATGATAAAACAAGTAATGACTGTTTACTGTCTTGGACCAAAGCTAAGCAGTGGACGTTCTGATCAATGAACAGAAAATATGGAGATCAAATTGTAATGGTTATGACTGCTGCATACACACAATACTGACAAACGTAATGTAAGGGAAACTACACAAGAGACACTACATGCAAATCATGATGATAATAAAATGGTTTTAAATGATCTTTACACTCACAGCACATAATCCGGCTTCTCCTCAGAGGCCACAGTTTTTGTGATGTCAAGATCTGAAAAAAGAATCACACAAGACACAGAAAATGACTTTAGTGTGAGTTGAGTTGAAAAAAAAAAATGGAACATGGCATGTTGTCAGTGTCTGGAAGTTGAGCAATGTGTTTTTGTTTTTCGAGTCAAGTCACAGTGTGAGCTTGTGGGTGTCAGGAGACGTCTCAGCTTAGAGACCCAAAGCGCTGCTTGAGCTGTTGTTGAGTCAATCAGCCACATAACACACCGAGGACTCAAGAGACGCAGCTTAAGGGAGCAAACACATGCTTATGAGATAATACTGTATAAAAGCACAAGTGAGCTGTGAGACTCACAGACACCTCACACCATTACTGCTGGTCATCAAAGTATTTGCGGTCAATTTATTACTGTGCCGGAGTAAAAATAACATTTCAGACACATGAAAACAGAGGCTGTCTGAGAATGTGACCACAGTATTATGACAGAATATTCAAATAAAGCAGACAACATGAAGTTAGGTTAAAAAAAACCAACACAGGCTCTCGTCATAAATCACTGTGCTGGTATCGGGGTGTGATAAGAGGAAACGGAGCTGTATCAGTTAGCGTGTGGCCTCGATGTTCTGTCCAAACCCGTCTAAGCCTGAGAGAAAACTAACCGCGCATGCTATAAACCTGACAGGCATTCTGTTCATTGTGCCCGAACCCATCCCGAGCCCCATGTTTCCCCAATTACAGGCACTTGCCGCATAAACAATCAAGTAGATAGCCAAGCCAACGTGACCAAACCCGACCCAAATGTTTGTCCGTGTGCCCACACTCTAGTATCAGTAAAAGAAAAAAATGTGCAGAAAGGAGCCTTACTTTCAAGTTTATCCGGCTTCTGCTTAAGATCAGGACTGGTCTCCAAACAGATACGTCCCTGGTTGTCTTTTAACCTCTCCCGCTCTTTGTCTTTGTGCTTTTTAGACTTCTTCTTTCTGTGCTGGCTGTTAGAAAGCTGCTGGTGAGTGCCGTCAGAGTCGCCCTGCGATGGCAGATGGTCGCTTACTTTGGGTCCATGCTCCCTGCTCTCTGAAACAGGTGCATCCGAGGTGCTACACAGTTTGTGGGGTGCAGAAAAGTTGCTGTGGGCCCCCGGTGAGTCGTTCTGTTTACCCGTATGGTTAGTTGTCCTTTGAAACTCAGTCTTTGTGTGGAAGCTGTGGTTGAGGGTGGGACTTGCTTTTTCATGTCTTTTATTGTTCAATGGTCCGTTTACAGCGGGTTGTTGGTGCAGCCTCTGGTCCACAAGTTTTTGTCTCTTGGCATTGAGCCTTTCCAGTGAGTCAGAAGGCCCAGGGCGTTTCTGGGAATGGAGGAAGAAAAAGACAGATCAACCAAAACCATACAAACTACCTGCAGCATAGCTTGTCAAGTCTCAACTCTACAGGGTAAAAAGCAGCATTTCTTTTTTTCACTTCTGTCAGAACTTTCCCATTGTTAACTCACTTTCACTACAATATAAATTCTGTTCCTCTATGGAAACTCAATGGCACTATCATTCATCTGTTTGCAGTATAATGAAGATATAATAATAGTCAATTAAAAGAAAAATGCTAATGTGTTTATTGTATTTTTTTTAACTTATTTAGAGGAACAACATGGCTGCTCCGTTTGCAGAGTAGCACACGCTTTTATGTTTTCACAAACTGGTTTGTGCAAATGGTTTATTTCTTGGCAAAATGTTAAAAGAGAAATGTTGAACGAAGTGATTTTGATTATTTTTCACAAATTTAAGCTTTTGATTTGGTTATTCTTACAAAATATGTTCACATTCAGTATGTTGAAGATCCCTCCTGTTTTTATAGTCTCTGGATGTGATGACTGGTGAAACTCTTTTGCAAGAAAAAACACTTTAGAGGATTTCAATATGATTATTTACCACTGCAGGATTTTTCATTGTGCTGTGATGTAGTGTTGAATCCTCTGAGGTCTTCAGTATCGGCACATTTGCTTGAAGACTTCTTGACTGGTTGCTAATCTGCGGCTGCAGTTTCCTGTTAAACACAAAGAAAGGACATGGTAACCGGACAATGTGACAAAAGATATCAACTATGAGGAGTTTAGAAACATTTAACTACATCTGGTGTCGTGGTGAAGTTGTGTGGATTTACAGGAGGAAGAATAAAGCCGAGCATGAAAATGAATCACAGATTCTTGGCGTAGCAGGTACAGACAGGTTCTGTTTCTGAGAGTTGATTAGTGCATGTGTGGGAACGAGAGAACAAGACATGAAGGAGGAGAAGAGCGCCAGATAAAGATGGCAGCCACTGTCTGCTCACAAATGTGAACAAATATTAGTATTACTAAAAAGAAAAGACAAAGGGAATTGTGATTATTGGTTTGTTGTAACAGCAGAGATTCCTATTTGGCCCAATGCCTGTGACCCACCTAGCCAGCAGCCTGCTGATCAGCTGCCTCTCCTCCTCGCTGTAGCCAGACCAGTCCCTCTGCACGTGCTTGTAGAAGACGTCCCTCAGCAGGTAGCTGCTGTCTTTGGGATTCACTTTAGCAACCTGAAAAATAAGACACCACACGATGTTGCCTTCAACTTATTTTGGATTTAATGACATTGGGAGAGAGGCCCTTCAGCTAATGTTGAGTCTTGAATTTCTTTTTTAATTGACACCTCTTATTTCATCAGTAAGCTCAATTCACATGCACAGATTAAAGGAAAAGGAAAAAGGAGGGAATATTTTGTGCTGTAATCAAAGCATGAGTGTCCTGTTGTACTGCATCCTAAACCTCTTAACAGATATATTTGACTTCACTTTTTCTTCCTTGAAACTTAAAAATTTCAAATATACATGGGTCACTATAATATTTGTCACAGTGTTTTAACCCAAAATGGCACTAAATCATTCATTAATAAAATCAAAATTTAACAATTATAAGTCAATATTAAACCAACATGAAAAGTAAAACCCACAATATTCAAGCAATTGGGGTTCTTCCAAACATGTGATATCAGAATAAATTGAACACTAAAATTATAGTTATCTTTTCTTAAATCCACAAACAACATTATTTTTCCATTTGAGTGCATCAGTTTCTTTCTTTCTTTCTTTCAGTGTCTTTTCTCTCTTCTCTAATTTGGTCAGGCTGCCTCGCTCTGAAGACCTCCACCTTTCTGGAGCCTCCTGACAGAGCAGCCCGCCCCGCTGCAAACTAAATCTCGAGACAATTACAGCATCAACCTAATTACACACATGCAGACACAAAAACCATATGCATGCACATAAATACACAAACACACACACATACCAGTGATGGTAGTACAAACACACAAATATAATTTAGGGATTAGGAGTGTCACGTAAAAAAAGTTTTTACATTAGATCAAAAGTTGAATTAAAGCACAACTTGGCCGCAGGTTTCTTTTCAGAATAAGTCGATGATATGTTTGCTTAATGAAACACACTGAAGGTCTCTGCTTTCAGATTCTGGCTCACATATGCATAGAAATTGTCATATATGCTGTATGTCCGATCAAAGTAAACAACCATTTGAGTGTAACAGTATTAGATACATTTTTACAAATTGTTCGGGCCTGATTGGAACACTGCAGTGTTACTACAGCACCACACAGAATCGTGGATGTGCACGTAAACAAGTGTGTTTTAAAGTGTAAGCAGTTTAAAAATGTAAAGGTCAAATGCGGTGAGACGACCACAAGCAACACCATCCACAATGTGTTTTTTAATTGTGTGTTTAAGATTGTACAAGTCATTTAAATGTGAAAAACGGGTGCAGTCCATTTGCAACGTTTAAAATGTTTTATATGCATGTGAGTGTTTTTAAATGGGTATGCATCCACACAGACAGACACATATATCAGCTTTGCACACCTCCTCCAGTATAGGACTGAGCTCTGCCTTGTCCTTGGGTCCGGCTCTCTCTCTGTCCAGCCACAGCAGCAGCTCTGGTTTCCTGTAGGGTTTCAGAGCCAGCAGGTGGATAATGCGTTCCCTCAGGGGCTTCTGGGTCGGCGTGGTCGTACCGCCATTCCTTTGGTTGTTGGTGGACTGCTTATAGAGGCTGCTGTCTGGCGTAGAAGGAGGAGCTGACCTCTTGTGGAGCTTGGTGCATTTACCTGAGCACAGAAAGAAAACAGGATTTAAAGTGACACACTCAGACAACTCAGATGTTGTACTTGGATTGAGCTGCTCTCAACTCTACTCCATACAATGTCAAAAATGTTACAATATGTAACTTCAGCCACTAGGGGTCTCTCATTTGACCTAATTTGATGACATAGTAATGAAGCACAGGATCATGGGAGTTGTTACCAATACCATATCTTGTCCTATAATAATCGTTTAGGGTCACTTGGTTTCCCTGAATAACACAAACAGTGGAAGAATTGAAAAACTTTTGATATTAACCTTTATTTATACCTGAAGAATCACTGAGGGAGGCCCTGATTTACAATGATGTCATGAGTCGTCATGGTAAAGCAGGTCAGACATATTTAAAATGTGACCAAAATCAAATGTCCCGTTACCTTGAATAAAGGTGTGGATTTCTCTGCGTTTGAACATTTTTGATAATGTAATTGCACAAGTGAACAAATGATATAACATAGTCTACTTGTTTTAAGACATTTTAATGAAAATTTGTTAGATATTATATCGGCCAGCTCAAGACAGAAGTAGTTCACCCAAAGATCACACTGTTATAACCAATAAATAAATGTAGAAAAAGAAAAATAGCCTTTTTCATTGAAAACTGTATTTATTTTTTTCATTTATTTATGTATTTAATTATTCATTTAACACATTTACCTGTTAATTCATTTATACTTAAGCCAAGCCTTAAGACAAGACTTTATCTTTCTGTTCTGTTCATCTTGGCTAAACTGTCTTGACAGTTGACGGACTAATGAGGAAACATACATCAGAAAATCGTATCATAACCTTTATTTCTGGATCCCATGTGCACGCAAGCCTGCAGCTATTTATTTTCAGATGTCATAGACACCCGGCCGATCATCGGTTACATCTCTGCTGCAGACAGGCCATGTTAGAGCAGTGAAAGCTATCTCACTGCACTAATCCCATTACACGTTAATCTGTGCTTTGAAGGTCAGAGAGAGGCAGAGGTACAGGAAAAGATGGCTTTTCTTTCAACCTGAAAAGTATGTCCTGAGACCAGATAATAACTCTGTGCATTATCATTTATCTACTGCCAGCCGTCAATCATGTATGAAATGTCAGATGCTTGCTCTATAGGTTTTGGCATGCCTGATAACGTGCACTGTCTTCACGATTACCTCTTGACACTGAAAGGGGAATGTAGAGTGCAGTAATTAAATGTTTGCCTCTGGGCCTATATGTTGCCCGGTCATTTTCACCTTAAGACCTGATGTTACACAATCCACTAAATCTACATTTGCTCTGAACCACCGTGGGTTTCAGCTTCCCTGAAGCTCCAACACTGACACGGGGCTAAAGAATTATGCCAAGAAACAATCTTGTAAAATCTCAGTGATCGTTGGAGAAGATAATAAAGAGAAACAGCTCATGTTCACAAATTCATATTCTAATATTATCAATATGCTTTTATGTTTTCTTGAGGTCTGAGAAATGGGGGAAATTTGCTCTTATCACATGTGAATTTATGCTACTTTTAGTTTTGTGGAAACCATCTAAACCTTTTGTAATTATCAGAGGTGTGTAAAATGTTGTGAGCAACTAGGTCAGTGCCTGTTCTAAACCTGCTTGTTTGGTCTGTGGTGATGCTGGTTGTAGATTTTCTTTCTGAAACTCTAAACGTGACCTGCAGTAATTGAGCCACAGCAAGTAAAGACCTGCTGCTGGACTCAGTCCACAGAACCTTGAAGCTGCACAAAGAGATGTTCACCTGTTTATTCAAAGTCTGGAGAAGCTCAACTCAGTACTTAAAACACCAAACCGGAGAATTGGTTGTCGTTGCATTATCAGACCTGTTGTAATTGTCATGACCCACAACGTCACTAGCGTTGATGAGTACCAGCCACCACTGCTACAGAGCGCTGGTCGCCTTTTCATTCAAAGTTTATCAATATAAAATGTATCACATGTCCAAATTCTCCCCCTAGTAAGTTTAAGGACAGACGCTGCTGACTTTGACACCCATTCTGTTTAAAGCCAGATGTGAGACAAAATAGGAATTGACAACAAAAAACAGAATTAAAAATGACAAAATAATTAATATAGTAGACATGAGTTGGGTTTTGGTCTCGTTTTAAAACTAAAAATATGCTCTTCACTTCTGGATTTATTCCACATCAAAACAGGAAGGTATCTGGTTTTCAGCTTTTTTAACTCTGGCAAATATTCCAATGACTTTTATTGGTCTTATTCTCTTTCTATTTTTATACGCCGTCAGTTTGTTCACATCCAATTAGCTGATCTCTCTCCAAGCTCTAAGCTGTTTGGCCTTTTCTGCACATGTATCGTCCTCTGATCCACAGAGGCCTCTGGTCTGTACTTACTTGGATGTGTGGCTCCAGGTTTGATCTCAATGGCGGAGCGGCTCCAGCTGTCCTTCTCCACCTGAGACATCCTCTCGCGGGTCACCTGGTAGGAGTCCTCTGTGGCACACACGGTGATCTTGTCCTGGATGACGCCCTGACCTTCCAGCTGCTCGCGGCCGTCACTGCAGGACACAAGCACAGAGCAGTTGAACCGCAGGCCTCTCTGCTGGCTATACAGTAAACACTGTAAAAACTGGAGCAGCGTACTGACGTGAACTCCAAAATAAAGTGGCTTTGTGGTGGAAGCTGGCTAAGACCGGTCTATGGTTAATGTATGTTATGTCACAGACTAGATATAGACTTGCAGGCCGCTGCATGTGAGAAAGCCAGATATCCTGGTAGAACGCATGTTGGAGCCTGTGGAAAACAGGCAGCATTAGCTTTGCACCTGCTGGCACAATGAAAAACCAGGATCATCTTAGACCAAAGAAAATCAGTGTGGTGCCTACATCAATTCATTTATGTGGAGCAGCTAGTAAAATTATATAAGTATAAGCTTCACAACTAATAATACTTATACTATAATACTAGTTATAAGCATCAGGATTTGGAAGATGTTGCCTCTTCTGTGGAGGAGAGAATGTTTGGAGGTGGTCGACTGCGAGGTTATTCACTACATCTCTGTGATATTCAAGAAACATACTCAAGAAACAATGAGACTGGTTCAAGATGCAGGATCTAGAAGGAGTGAAACTCTGGTGAGCACAGCTTCCCCTTGCTGCTCATTTCCTAAAAAATATTTTTTTTCTCTTGTGAAATTAAGACTTTAATCTAGTGATATCAAAGTTTTTTTTTTTTTTTAACATGGCCCTAATACCGGACCCCAAACAGGGAAAAATAAATCAGGCAATTAACTGTGATAAAAAAACAAAAAAAATTGAAGACCCTTTTCTGAGATCCAATTAAAATTTTTCTTATAACATTATACCTGACCAGAGATCATATCCCTTCTTATCCTAACTATCAAAACAAATGTGTAGTTGGGCAGACAGAGTAAACCTTCCCTCACTGTTGCTCTTGGCTCCAGCAGCTGCGTTTCAGTTCCGACCACAGTTTTCTGTCTGGCAGCAGGAGGCAGCATCAGAGCAGAGTAGCCCTCATTATCCAAGCATAGCACCCCATAAACAAGGTATAATGGGTCTCAGTAATGAGAAGGTCAGCCGAGAAATATACAGGAAATTTCAACTGCCCCATCCTGTTTAGAAATGTCTCTCTCGATGCCCTCAGAGGCATGGGGACAGAGACACTTGAACCTTAAATTGTGACTGACAGATCTGGACATTTTTTTACGCTGCAAATAAGACGCTATCGCTACGCTATGGGAAATCGGAAGCAGTGGCTGTATAGCACGACCACTTTTAGAGCGCCATAGAAGAAGTGATTTCTGGGTATTATTAAAATTGTATTATGTTTATCTGGGTGAAACTAATATACTTTAATGACGTGGTATTGGATCGGGTACTTACTCTCCAATGCCCAAACCATGTTCACCAATTATTTTCCATGTAGCTTCAGGCAGATTCTTGAATCAGCAAAATAAGACTTAGGTGAAATATTTAAAAAGAAATAAAGGATGTGAAGTTGGCAAATCTAACCAGTTCCACCTGATTAACCTCTTACCTTGAGACATACTGATGGATGCAGTCAAAGCTGGCCTGAGGTTGGTCTTTGCTGTCGCTGGATAAGTAGAAGGAGAAGATGCGAAGAGCAGACAGTGACTCTTGTGTGGGAGCTGGGATCTTGATGTACTATTAAGAAAAACCGGAGAAGGTCAGATTTTATTAAACTTATAAAACATTGAAACAGACGACCTGAAAATTGTATAACCACACAAACAACATATAAAGTGAAATGCACCCACATAGTGTTGTCACTAATCTGCCAGATTTTCCTGGCTGTTATTATCTTGCTTTTGTCTGTAACTATGTTAAATCAAGTATTCAACACTACTTGACAACACGTGTTGAAGAATAGTTATATTGTGTCACTGGCCTGGTACCAGCCAGTTGCTTTACCTCGCCAATGTTTTTCCGAGTTCAAGCATCCTTTGTTATCTTTCAGACTTGGGAGGGAAAAGCGATTATCTACTCAGCAGAATTTCACAGGCAAACTGAGGCCAAAAGCATCGAAGCCAAGAACACAGAGCTGTCCAAAGTCAAGGTTTTTACAATGAGCATTAAACAATGGAGTTTCTCTTTTCTCAACTTTCAGCCCACTGCAAAGGCCAGACTGTGACCAAAGATAGAAGCTGCGAGAGGCCTAGAGCCATCAGCTAAATACATTTAGATATCAAAAAACAGCAGATGTATTGTGTGCAGCAGATTTTGTCTGAGGACGACATAAAATTTATCCTTCAGTATTCATTCTATAAGATTTATCATGATGGAAACTGTTACGACAATGTGGCCATCAGATTCAGATTTAGACATTTCCTAGGCACAAATGGAAAACAATAAACATTAAAGACTGGGTTGGTAATACTGGAAAAGCTAGCGCACGCATTAGCCCTCTGGTCAAAGCTACGCCCCCCAAACACATGAAAATGCCAAACAACTGCTAGAGGACCGCTTTTCTGATTCTCTCTCGCTCGTTCACTTCCTGCTCTCAGCGGTGTTCGTCTGTCCGGCCAAAGACTTGAGTAATTTGCAGCGAGAGCACAGACAGGGTGTGCACAGGAAGGCAGGTCAGTGACTACTGACCTACTGCTGGGCCAAAGACACCAGCATTTCTTCTTTTTTTCTAGACGACTTTATTTGATGGCCATGAAGACATGAAGAGGATCTCTGAAAAGTATGATCTAAACATCTCTGCATGAAAACAATCAAACGTTGTAGTGATGAATCATCTGAATCTGCAGCTTCCTTCTGCTTCCTTAACTGTTAAACTAAAACTACTGAATGTGATTCAGACCTAATTTCATGAAAAGCAACATACATTCCAACTGGTGGACAATCTAACCAACATTTTACCAGACCACTCACTGTTGAGCTTGAAATACAATTTTAAATCAATGATATGGGACCACCAAAGACAAAGAAAATGCATCTGTGCAATTTAACATTTCCAAATTGATTCATCAGACTCTCTTCCATAACCACAGTGTTTATTTTCTGTACTGACAAATGTCTGAGTTATCACCTGTAGGAGGAAGCTCCCTTCACAGACCCACATTACATTGCACAAAATCTTTAACACCAGTCGCTTCAACATTATAATGTAAAAAATAAAAAAATCCCTTTTGTCTGTTCTGCAAAGACCAGCAGCGCCTGACTCATGCTCTACAGAGGTTTGGTTGTGAAAAGCATCCTGAAACAGAATTACTTTCATATGATTTTTATGCAGTTTCCTGCAGAGGACAAGAAAGAATGTACATGTGTGACCGCTGATGAATGTCACTGGGGAAAATCTGGGAGATAATGGGAACTTGTGAGCACACCGTGCTGTTGTTTGACTATAGAGCACTTTGACTATGATAGATGAGCTGTGGAGAAAAATTCTACCAAAGCAAAATTATAAGGTCAGTTACACCTTTAGAGAAAGTATTGGGAAACAACAATGTCACTCGCTCATGTTTATTTTCACAGAATCTCAACACAGCCTTGTATGTATGCACAACTGAACACACACACACACACACACACACACACA